GGTCGAGGCCGTTTAGGGCTTTAAAGGTCAGCACCAACACTTTGAATTGTGCTTGGAAATGTACTGGGAGTCAATGTAGGTCTTTCAAGACCAGTGTTATATGGTCTTGGCGGCCACTTCCAGTCACCAGTCTAGCTGCTGCATTCTGGATTAATTGTAGTTTCGGGTCACCTTCACAGGTAGTCCCACATAGAGCGTAGTTCAAACCATACAAATGTAATTGGTAGAGAAGGTTTTGTGTGATGTGATTTGCCCTCCTCTCCTGGGAAGGAAGTATTTCCTGATCCTTCTCTTTCCCTCTTTCTCTTCAACCAGTCAAGGGAGCAGATGCCTGCCTGCTTGCTCCAGCATCAGACACATACCTGAAACTGTTTTCGCTGTAAATGAAAGTATCTTACCTACTTTAGTTTTTGCTGCTGTTGCTGCTAAGCATGAATAAGGACTGTGAGTAAACTATGTTTTAAAATTACTTTTCAGTCTGTAGCCTGTTTCTTTGATAAACAGGGAAACAAAAGAGAGAGATCAGTCTAATGGCTAATTCCTACGCTTTCATTTAAATTGCTTAAGATGGGATTTAAACTCTGCTGAGAGGGCTTTTTTGTGGGAGAGTCTGCAAAAGCCCTGCACTTTGAAAAAGGCTTGCAACCACATTTTTTTTTCTTTGCATCAACCCACACACACTGGCCTGTAGAGGGACAGGATCTAGTTAATCTATTCCTCACCTACCTAATAAAACCCATCATTTACTAACCAATGAGACTATATGAAATCTGTGGACTTGAGGGTTTTGCATGGGTATAAGTAGCCAGATATTTTTCTCTGCAAACACAATTGCCCCGATAATCATGTTCTGAGCCACAGGAGTTAACTCCTACAAGCAATCTTCAAAACTCCAGTTTCAATGTGCTCTTCTCACTCTCTCTCTATGTATATGGATGCAGGGGGCGGTTTTGGCAGCTGTAAAATCTGTCAGATCGCTCTGGCTTTGTTCCTCCCATGTAGAGGGCCATTGATTTTGTACCTAACTATGCTGCTGATGGCAGGCAACACATGGTGCACAAGGTCATCCATGTAGGACGTGTTTGGGAGCTCACTTCTCTGTTTGTCTCGCAGCTTTGTTTCAGCAAAGTGTCACTACTCCGTGAAGAGCGGAGAAAACATCTGCTAGCTTTAGCACCAGTGGGGGAGGCCTTTCCACCCGCAACAGCTGCCTGCGCTGTCTGAGTGGGGATGTTAAGAGAGCTCACACAGCAGTCGGTGCAAGAGGAGATTCTAAGAGCACCAAAACAAGGCTTCCATTGGCTGCTGGTGAAGGTTGATGCAGCCTTTCTTGCAGAAAAGAGAGCTGCTGAGGAGGGAATGGGCAGAACTGAATTTTGCATGAGCCTGTCAACAGAGCATGTGGAGCAACACGGTTTCTTAGCACACCTTGGAGGCTAAGGCAGGGCACTCATCACATCTGGATTTATTGCAAAGAAGCCCTTTTTCTCGTATTGGGTTTTTCTTACAGCATTCAAAAGCACTTTGTACGAAACTCAGACCGGCGTAGGACTTGGCAGCTATGTGTGAATTCATAACACTGATTTAAGTGGCATTTGCTTTGTGGATATGACAGCTCCCAAATCTCATATGCACATTGATTTTTTTTTTTTAAGGCATCATATCAAGCTCACTAGCTGAAGGAGGCTCTTGTCTATGAAAGTTCATGACACGATGCAGGCTGCCATGAGATATTTCAGTTGTTATAGTTTTGCCAAGAGACAGACCAAACAGAGGGCCTTCTTGGTAGTGGCGCCCGCCTTGTGGAACGCCATCCCATCAGATGTGAAGGAAATAAGGAGCTATCTTATCTTTAAAAGACATCTGAAGGCAGCCCTGTTTAGGGAAGTTTTTAATATTTAATGCTGCATTGTTTTTAACACTCGATTGGGAGCCGCCCAGAGTGGCTGGGGAAACTCAGCCAGATGGGCGGGGTATAAATAATAAATTATTGTTGTTATTATTATTATTATTATTATTATTATTATTATTATTCCCGAGGAGTGGATGGAGGGGGAAGCTTTGAGAATGATAAGGAGTCATGCCTCCCAGTAAGGTGCTCATTTCAGAGATCTTCCTATGTCACTGTTTTCTATCCCATCTTGTCAGCCTCCCAGTTCCCTCTTAGGATTGCCAGCCTCCTCTGGCAGAGTTTGTGTTCCTTTAACAACCGACCAACGCCAGGAAATTCAATAGGTGGTGAATTGTTATTTCTTAAAATGAATATCCTGTTTCTCTTCAAAGAATCCATAGCTGCTTTCAACAAACAAAAAAACTCAGAAACAGTTTAGCAGCAACAAATGCTTTTTAAAAAAATTGACAAAAAAGGGCTGCACCCTCAAACACAGCAGCAGGAAAAAGGAGGACATGTAGGTTTGGACCAGAGTTCCTGTGAGCAGAAGCCTGTTCAGAGGACATTCCTGCTGGAGGGATTGTGGAGTTGCTTGTGCTTTGGAGGGTGGAGAGACCCTATGGAAAAATATGGCTGGCTGGCACAACTGGGTCGATTACTCTATAGTGTCCTCCAAAACCACCCTGAAGAACCACGTAATAAAAGTACAAGGTAAAGGTAAAGGACCCCTGGATGGTTAAGTCCAATCAGACTTGGTTGCAATGCTCATCTTGCCTTCAGGCCTAGGGAGCCGGTATTTGTCCACAAACAGCTTTCCATGTCATGTGATCAGCATGACTAAACCGCTTCTGGCGGAATGGGACACCATGACGGAAGCCAGAGTGCGTGGAAACACTGTTTACCTTCCCGCTGCAGTTGTACCTATTTATCTACTTGCACTGGCATGCTTTCGAACTGCTAGGACAGGAGCTGGGACAGAGCAACAGGAGCTCACCCCGTCGTGGGGATTCGAACTGCCGACCTTCTTGGGCAAGCCCAAGAGGCTCAGTGGTTTAGACCACAGCACCACCCACATCCCTTACCACATCATAAGCAGGTGATGAAACAAATAAAAAAATGGCTTGCAGGAAATAGTTTCAATGGAAAATTATAGTGGAATTAATTAGAATTGACAAAAAAGAAAGAAAATCAGGCATGTGTGTGGAGCAGAAGGGGGAAAGCCTTGTTGTGCAAGCGAAGTCCTTGTGCAGGGCTTCTATTGATGGGACTCAGAATGTGAATCCTGCACTATATCTGGATGCCATTACAGGCATAGGAGAAGGGTCAGGGGGAATTGGGGTGGGTGAGCAGCAATCCTCCTTTAAAATGTGTGCAAAATTGGTAGCAATATTAAGAATGAGATTGTCTGGTAACCTAATGTTAAGATTTCAACAAAGCTGATCTAGGAATGAGTTGACTCTCAGATGCTTAAGGTAAAGGTAAAGGGACCCCTGAGCGTTAGGTCCAGTCGCGGTCGACTCTGGGGTTGTGGTGCTCATCTCGCTTTATTGGCCGAGGGAGCCGGTGTACAGCTTCTGGGTCATGTGGCCAGAATGACTAAGCTGCTTCTGGCGAACCAGAGCAGCGCACGGAAACACCGTTTACCTTCCCGCCGGAGCGGTACCTATTTATCTACTTGCACTTGGACGTGCCTTCGAACTGCTAGGTTGGCAGGAGGTGGGACCAAGTAACGGAAGCTTACCCCGTCGTGGGGATTCAAACTGCCAGATGCTTCCTAGTTCCTAATTTCTTTCTTTCTTTTTTTAAACAAAGGAATACCAATATGTTTTCACTTCAGATGAGTAACGACGAAAGTCCCAGAGAACCCTATGCAAATCAATATGCCAAACTACTGCAAATTAGCAAGCAGAGAGCATTTCATTGACAGTGAACGCTATCTGTCAATCTAAAGTGGCCTTTATAACCAGGAGGGACGGCACGGCTCTTTGCTAGTCAACCAAAGTACAGCAATGACAGTGGGAAGCCTGATCTGAAGCAAGCACCCTCTGCGGTGAGGCCAGATCACTTATTTTCTCTCTCTCCGATGGGTATCATTAGCCCTCTCTCTGGGGAGAAAAGCTGCACATCCAAGCTCTGCTTCTTCCCTACCAAACTTCCCTTTCATAGATAATTCCCATAGCCCTTTTGCATGTGTAGAGTGCTTTAACCTTTTTAAAACTAAAAATGAATAGAAATAAATGTGCGTGCAACTTAGAGGCCAGCTTCCAACATCATGACACTCTCTAAGTCCAAGCTTCCTTAGAGTTGCTACTCGTGTGAAGAGGGGAAGGGGCTATGAAGCTGTGCTTTCAGATTTTCCCCTGTCCTCTTGCTGAGGTGTTGGCTGCTCATGAGTTCAGCTGTAAGTTCGGCAGTGGGAAGCAGAGGAGGCTGCTCGCTTAAGGCAAATGGGGCACAGCCCCAGCACCCTCAAGTCTGCTCTTTGACAGCCCCCCAGCTGGCTGCCTTCTTATTACAGCCATTGCTGTCTGTCAGCTTGCTCTTCCATAAGTCTCAGTGTTAGCCAGGAGGAGGGTGGGGAGAAAACCAAAATGTCAGGGACGGGACTGAAGAGGAGGAGGAGGAATGGTGGAGGTCGTGCTCCCTCCACTTTCTCCTGTAGCTCTCAGAGAAGAAGAAGAAGGCCGCCTCGAATTACAGCAGGGCTTTGAGGAAGATAAACAGCTCAGAGACAGGTGAACAGCAGAGTTATGAGGTGGAGGCAGAGCAGCTAGCTGACACGTCACTGGACAGCACAACTGAACCCCCTTCTCCCAAAACGTGGTGTTTGTTATGTGTGCAAGAAGAAAGGGCACAGAGGCAGTAGACCACAGAGAGACGTCATAGAGGGAGAGGGGAGGAGCTCAGTGCGAACAATGCCATCATTGAGGAATGACTGGATTCTTTCATTGTGATGACTGAAATAAATCATAAGAACTTTCTTGTGTCTTCCCTGCTTCTTGGTGCCATCGGGGGAGGGAGAGCATTCCTCATGCTGGCACAGAATAAGTTAGTTCTGCTGGGAGCACTGGATCTAATGTATTATTTGGCAGCATGTAGAACTGATCTGGGATTGCTCAGCTGGTAGAGCACGCGACTCTTAATCTCAGGGTAGTGGGTTTGAGCCCCATGTTGGGCAAAAGATCCCTGCATTGCAGGGAGTTGGACTAGATGACCTGGTGACTCCTTCGAATTCTACAATTCTATGATTCTAACTAGCCCACCCCACAGATATAATGATCTGGACCCTAAGGAGCATGGACAAAGTTCCTCTTGTGCAACAGAGCTTTCCCATTTTCTTCTCCCCATTGTTGCTCCTTGCAACTCCTGAAAATCTGGTGATTGGAGACTCACTGGAATGGCGTGGAATGGGATGACTGCAGTTGGGTGTGGGTGGGTGGGAGAAATCAGTAACTGCTCCCATGTGAGTAGACATGCCTTCACCTTCAGCAAAAAGCTGCTTGGATCTGAGCCATGGGTATTGCATAGAAATCACTCAATGTGATCACAGCGACACAGTTCCCACCCACCTAGTTCCTAGCCCTATCTAAATGGCATTGCTTCTGAGAAAAAATGTTAAATGAGAACTGTCTCTCTCTTCTGACCCCTCGACTCTGCCAATCTGAATCGGCCTTCATCGTGAAGCTGTAGTTAAAACAGCCTCAAAACACAACATTTGTGTAAGGCGGCGGGGGTGGGTGGGAGATAAAACGTTGTAAGGTTTTATATAGTGGGGATGAGCCAGCTCTATTTATAGGGGCTATTCAACAAATTTTAACACACCCTTATATGTTGTATGTGAAGTGCCATGAAACACAAGCATGCATTATACCCTAAAGCTCTCTGGATAGTGTACTGATGGCTATCTGCCCAGTTCCTACGATTAAAAAATGGCATGGCAGTAAATCACAGAGAGTTTAAATCTCTTGGATTATCATTATTAAATGTGGTTTTAATACTTTCTGTTCAGTACAGCACTGGCCTCCCTCTATGCAGAAATATCTAATCACAAACCATTTAAAACTCTACGAGAGAACCTCGTTGCTAAATTAAATGTTTGTCAGCTGCAGAGAGAACAGCAGTTCCAGGTTTCGCCCCACTAGGCTGGAGCTTGGCCACAACGTAATCATCCGAAACGATTTCCGAGAACCGTGTATCCATCAGATTGTCACTGATGATAACAACGGTCTTACCCTTAATGCGATGACACACCTGGGAGCAAAATTACTGACCTGAGCATTGCTATAGAGGGGTGGTGAACTGTGGTGTTGCTGACCCCATTAGAGGCACACGGGGATGATTTGGGATTAATACGTTGGGAGCGCCTGTAGTTCAGCAGTAATTCACATGCTTTGCATGCAGAAAGTTTCATGTTTAATTCTTGGTATCTTCAGGTATTGTTGGGAGAGATTCCTATCTGAAACCCCGGAGAGCTGATGATAGTTTGTGTAGGAACTGAATTAGACCAATCAATGGTCTGACTTGGTCAAATGCAGTTTGACTCTTAACCATCGTACCTAATATAAAAATACAGTGGTACCTCTGGTTAAGTACTTAATTCGTTCCAGAGGTCGGTTCTTAACCTGAAACTGTTCTTAACCTGAAGCTCCACTTTAGCTAATGGGGCCTCCCGCTGCTGCCGCACGATTTCTGTTCTCATCCTGAAGCAAAGTTCTTAACCTGAAGCACTATTTCTGGGTTAGCGGAGTCTGTAACCTGAAGCGTATGTAACCTGAGGTACCACTGTACAAATACTGTATTCCCAGACTGAACCTCTTCATATAGATTTGGCCATCAAATTACCTGCTTCCTATCATAGGTGCCAACTCCCTGGGGCCATGGGTGCTCAAGCACCCACAAAATTCCCCGTGAAGGGGCCGGGCACCCACAAATTTCAGTGCCAGGGCCATGCACACTGCATGGCACCCACACCCATGGTTGCAGGGCCAAGCTGGCACTCCTGCTTCCTAAGTTAGCTTCTGCCCATTGGCAATGCCATTCATACCATTTATGGGGGAGGGACGAATTTGCCACACCCCTCCTCCCCTGTAAGAAGCAGAGAAGTGATATCTCCCTACTGTAGGCTGTTCTGAATTATCGTTTATAGGGCTACAAAATAGTGTCCCGCCCAACTGTTTAAAAAGCCAAATATAGAAGTGTAAGTGGTGGTTTGGCTGTCCTCTTGTGACATACAAATGGATATAGAGGATCTGACATTAACCAATAATGGTTATATCCAAGCAGTATTAGTAAACCACCGCAGAATGAATTAATTTATTTGTCTAAATGTATAAAGGTAAAGATACCCCTGACCGTTAGGTCCAGTTGCGGATGACTCTGGGGTAGCGCGCTCATCTCGCTCTATAGGCCGAGGGAGCTGGTGTTTGTCCACAGACAGCTTCCGGGTCATGTGGCCAGCATGACTAAGCCACTTCTGGCGAACCAGAGCAGCACACGGAAATGCCATTTAGCTTCCTGCCTATTTATCTACTTGTACTTTTACGTGCTTTCGAACTGCTAGGTGGGCAGGAGTTGGGACCGAGCAACGGGAGCTCACCCCGTCGCGGGGATTCGAACCGCTGACCTTCTAATCGGCAAGCCATAGGCTCAGTGGTTTAGACCACAGTGCCACCCACATCCCTCCTAAACATACAAACCACGATGCAAAACAAGCTCGGTAGTATCTAGAACAAGGGCTGCAACGTACTGAAGAAACATTCCTAATGACAGAGATTCTGCTATGTGGGGGATTTCAATGCGAAAACTCGGGGTGGGGGGATGACGAAAAAAGCAAAGCTACTGCCCTGGATGAGGACAACATCAACACTGCAGATAGAGCCTCACAAGATAAGACTATTAATAAATATGGGTTAAAACTATATTCCCTTGTATATAAGCACTGCTTGCAATGTCTAAATGGTAGGCCCCTCAATAAGACAATAAGTCACTACACTCATATATCCCAGCATGGGGTCAGTGTAGTGGATTACATCTTTGTGTCACATGCTATTTATTAAAATAAAAATAAAAATGGAAGGCAGAGCAGATAGTGATGATCTTTCACTGGTGGCCCAGGTAGGCCACCCAAAGAACAACAAAGACCCCATTACCACACAACCAATGCAGGGAGAGCACATTGGGGATAGGCGCATAAGATGGACATTTCAGTCAGATATTGTCAAACTTAACAGGGCAATCCACCTTCCTGGGAGGTGTGATGGGCAGAGAGAGTTTCACGCATGCACAGTGAACACTCTTCCCAGTTAATGCAACCACTGGAAGAGGTCCACCAGCCCCTAGGTACAACATAGCTACTTTGTGCATCTGAAACACAAGCAGGACCAGTCGAAACACCTGGGCGTCTGCCAATCAAGCCTGGCTGTCATCAACAGAATTGAGCTGCATGACATCTAAGTGCTCTGGATGAATGGGTTTGCAGAGCTGGCTTCCCGATTCAATACATGGCAACTCCCTCACAGCATTGGAAAACAAGAGATTGTGGTGTGGATGTGTTTATATCTCCCATGTGTGGCATCTATTTTATGGCAGCAGGCCAGATTACACTTTTAGCTGTTTGGGAATTCACCTGAAGTACACAGCAGCTTCCGTCCAAAGCACAGCTTTTATCTTTAGATTTTATGTCGGCAATATTTCGTTCCGAGAGGTAGGCTTGCAAAATAAATAAATAATGCTGACAACCTTTCCATGAGAGGAAAGCAGTGCTATTCAGAGTGGAGAGCAGCACATTTTCCAGCTGAATTTCTTTCCCTCCCATCTAACCTATAGTTTTCTATGGGCATGATGTTACAGAGAATATGTGTGCATGTTTTCCAGGGATATGATGTTCTTTCTATACTGGCTCTAATTCCAATAGAGATTCAACACACATCCACAAGCTGGTTTGAGCATACAGTACAGTCGTACCTTGCTTCTTGAACGACTTAGCTAGCCGAACAAATCGGCTCCCGAACACTGCAAACCCGGAAGTGAGTGTTCTGGTTTGCAAATATTTTTCAGAAGTCGAAAGTCCGACATGGCTTCCACTTGAGTGAAGGAAGCTCCTGCAGCCAATCGGAAGCCATGCCTTGGTTTTCGAACTGTTTTGGGAGTCGAACAGACTCCCGGAACGGATTAAGTTTGAGAACCAAGGTACCACTGTAGTCAAATTATTCACAAAATTAAACACAAAACAAAACCCTGTTCTCCTCTGAGCAGTTTTGTGGAATGCCTTCAGTACCTTTCCTGCAGCAGTGACTTGCTCAGATTCAATCACACTGGTCTACACACTTATTTCAGATTCACGGGCACTCATAAAAGTTGTTTCTATAGTGTGGACTCTCTAGAAATCAACTTGAATGCTCCCCTGAGTAATCATGCCTCCATTGCAAGTCGTGATGCAGGTTGTCATATATGGACAGAAAGTATCAGTATTTGAGCAGTAGCAGTAGCAGCGTCCATGAAATGAAGACATCCTGAGAGCATTCCAAGTTTCTCCCTAGAGAGTCCATTTGGTGGGTACTGTCTTCCCGAATGCTCTGTAGTTGTTGGCTTTTATATGTTGACAGAAATAATGCAAGATGGAAGAACTCATGGTGTTAACATGATTGTTCCCTGGAAACTGTGTCATTCTACCATGGATGAAATAGACAAAAAGGGATGGGGGGGGGCGGGAAATCAGGCCTTTTTTTTTTTTGGCAATCCAAGTTAAAATTATACTGGGGGGAAAGGGTAAATTTTTTGGGATGTGTTTTAAATTCTACACTACAAAGAGAACCTCTCTCTTTCCAAAATTTGGAGTAGGAAAACAGATGTTTCTCTCGCACCCCATGCCCTGTCAATTTTTGTAACCGCTGTGGAACTTAAATCCTTGAGGAACTAACAGAACAGTCGAAACAAAATAAAAGAATTCCTTCCAGTAGCACCTTAGAGAAATGCATACACACGAATGCTCATACCAATAACAAACTTAGTTAGTCTCTAAGGTGCTACTGGAAGGAAGTCTTTTATTTTGTTTCAACTACGGCAGACCAACACGGCTACCTACCTATAACAGACCAGTGTCACCCGAATGCATTCAGTAATGTTAATGGAACAATTTTAGTGTTAAGGAAGTCCTTAGTTTGCAGGAAGACCTATGCA